TATAAGCCTCTCCATTGCACCTCGTTTCTCTCTGCTGAGTCCGAAACCCGACACGATGCTCAGCACCCAAAATAGCCCTCTGCAAGAGAATGCGGTGCTCCCCATTTGAACGATGCCGTGTACCGCTGTGTCGGCTAGGCCGGTATATTCCGTCGGGATATAAAGATTCTTGTTGTTTTGGATTGCGGTTTTGAGGTAGTGGAGGAGGAATCTTGTGAGGACTAGGTTGTTGTTTTCGGCGCCGTAGGCGCCTAGCGAACGGAGGAAATGCTCGATTGTTTTCGGGCTTAAAATCGTCAAATCTTGAAACCACCAAGCGGCGGATGAGGCGGCTTTTCTCGATGACATTGAGCCATTATAACAAACACCTTGTGTGCTTAAAGTTCGGGCTGTTTCGGGAGAGGAGCAGGACGAAGACGAAGAAACGGAGAGGGAATTCGCATCGGAATTCTGCGCGATTTTGGTGAGGAGAGAGCAGAGGAGCTTCTCTACGAGGCCGCAAGATTCGGCGCAGGGGAAGAAGGGCTCGCAGTTCTTGAGGCAGGTGAGAATATCCTTCCACGGCCAGTGGAATATTCCGTCGAGGAAAACTTCCGTCTGGTGGAGGAGGTTAACGGGGGAAGCCTTCTCCGTCATGCCGAGAAACACGGCGCAGCAGTGGAGGAGAGAGACGTTGGAGACGGTGATCGGAGTGTCGCCGTTGTTGTAGCAGAATCTCGAGACGAGCTCGAACCCGTCCGGCCCGCCGGGGAAATCGTCGACCCGAATACCCGGATTCCTGATCTGGGTCCTCCGTTTTTCTTGCTTGATTATCTTCCTCAACTTGGTTGAGTACTTGCACATGATTCTCTGTACACACACAAAAAAAAAAAATCAGTTACAGAAATGGAAAAGTAGGATTATAGATACAGAAAATATGTATGTATGTATGTATGTATTGTGACCTGAGAGAGGAAGAAGGTTTGGCGGCCATTGACGTGAACTTGAAGATTGCAGGGTTCTGACATGGCGGGGTGTTTCGCATTGAATGAAACTAATAGTTGAGAGGAAACTGTGAGAGATTCGAGGAATTTGATATTGATTGCATATATCTATATATATATATATAAGACTGTATGTGAATATATATGTGTGAAGGTGGAGGGAAGTGTATGCAGTGAATGTAGAGAGAAATGGGGGAAAGTGATTTTGATTTTGGACGATGATAAAATGATGATAGAGTTGTCTTGTACCTGGGCCCCACTCTGTCTCTTTTATTATTATTCTTTTTTTTTTTTTTTTTGCCTTGTATTCAGAGCTGGGCCCACTTATTCGAATATATGTAAATATTGGGAAATATATATATCCCTACCGAATTTAATGTGTTCTTCAAAAAATTAAGGTAAATTACGGCGAGCAAAATCAAATTACAATAATATCTTTTTTGTTTGAGTAATTATAATGATTGTCTCAACTATAAATTTTATTACATCTTTATTTTGTGGTGTCAAATTTAGTGGAATCTTCTAGATTATGTGGAATATTCTTTAGTTTGTACGAGTTTTACCCATTCCAGCTCCACATTTTGGAATAAGATGTGTCTCTTGACTTGTAAATATTCGATTGTGGTGCATCAGAAATGGAGTTTTTGTACAAAACGAGCACAAAATTAGAGAATCTTTTATGGAATCTAAAAGATTATGTTGAATTTGACACGATAAAATGTGAACGTGTAAGAAGATTCATAATTAAGTGGTACTTATAATTTTCCAAAGATGAAGATTTTTTTTTTTTTGTAATTTGACATTACCTGTGGTGGTGGTTGAATTTACCAAAAAAATAAATTAATAAGGGTGACAATTGAACCGTTTAATTAAAAGTTCAAATTTAATGTACCATCGAATTTTATATTCCTAAACTCAAACTCAACTCATATATTCTTTTGGATTTTGGATTCATATCAAGCTCAAGTCGAACTTATAATAAATTACAGAAGCTCAAGTTCGACTCGTAAAACTTTTTAGTTTATTAAAATGGCTACAACTTGGCTCCACTACAATTAACTATGTTCAAGTCACTTAAAATCAAGTCCAGCCTTATGATTTTAGGTAGTCCCAACTCAATTGACAATTCTACTTTTTAACAAGTTTCTGCGAGTAACGCAACACACTTAAATCGACTAAATAGTTAAGTAAGCACTATAACAAACATAATGGAATCAAATTATTGTAAGTAGAATATGTTTTTTTTTTAAACATGAATAAAAGAGAGATTGAAGAAAAAAATGATTTTGTTTTTTGGAAATGGTAAGGGTTTTGTCTCATATACGAGACGGGTCGGGTCGGGTTGGGTCGGGTCGTCTGAAAGTCAAGAAGCCTAGTATTGTTCGTTTTGGTTTGATTCCTTTTCATATATTTTGGTTGTATTTGGAAGACACTTTAGAAACATGTGAAGATAGGGCCCCACAAAGACACCTTCTTTGGGGTTGTCTATTTCTATTTCCAATTTACTTTTGATTTGCTAACTCATCATCTCCTATTTCACTTGTGAATCGGTTCTTCCAAATTGTTTTTTTTTGTTTTATCAAAAATTTGATTGCCAACAAAGTCTAATTCAAATCTCAAGGATTGTGATATCACCTTTGACGTACATGTTTCGGAAACTGAAACTTCATTACACCCGTTGGAAATATTTCAGGGCCGTTTCTATAAATATTTAAAATTTTTGGGGATGTTTATGATAATAATGAAAAAACGAATACGCTTTTCCACAAAAAAAAAGAAAAGAAAAAAGAATCCAAAAACGCATTTCAAATAAAAGAATCTTCAATCTTATGTCTTTGTTTCACTTCTAGTGGTGTTTTAATATTTTTCGCAGATACTACTTTCGTACTAAAATAAATTTATAAGCCCTGAATGTAATTTATGGAATGAATATTCAGATTGGAACTTGAAAATTATGTATAATTTATTACTTTGTAGATACAAATATATAATTGACGATAACTTTATAATTTTTTTTAGAAATTACGAGTGCACCCCTTTATTTTAATATTTACACGTTTCTCATGTTTCTGTATCCAACTTTTTGGAAAATCGAGTTTCCCCATGTCCGTTTCCGCTGTTCGCCGTGTCTGTGCTACATAGGATATCACCGGTTCGTAATTATGAGATCTTAATTTGTTTTATTGGATTTATTTTGTGTTTTCATTGATTCTAGTTCCGATCACATGCTAAATTTTTATTCTCGTCACATTTTTATTCATTCTACAACTATGTTATTCCACCAGTCATTGTTCAGGACCATCTCCACCACTTTTGCTTTCGTTGATGTAGGCTCGAGAGTTTGTCGCATGAAAATCAATTTCAAACCAATCTCCAGCGGCATCCAATGGGTAGCGCATGTGTTAGCTCCTATATTTGCACTTGCACGAAGGACACTGTGAACATGGGATGTGCAACATTTCTCCGAAACCCTGCACGGAATCGATAACTGTCACGGTATCCCTTGTTCACCTTCAAAAATATAATTATTCGGAGACGAACATAATACCCAATAAATTAGAATACATGTTTTTTTTTTTTTTTTTTCCGCCAAGGACTTCATACTTAAGAACTAATCTACCAAATTACCCCCTCGTCAAGATGAATATTCGATGAAACTACTTAACGCCCACACCGGCCTAGGGAAGGAACATTTTGCAAGGATATGTCAACTCTTTGATAACTCTTTTAGTGATTTTGATATGGTGCAAATTTAGATCGGATGACCTGTTTTTAATAGAAAAATCGGATGCCATAGAATAATTGACACGTGGATAGTTTAAATAAAAATATAATTAGGATTCTAATAATTGGAAAAAAAAAATAATAAAAAAAGAAAACCCCAGCATAATCCGTAACCCCTCTAACCCTAATTATAATCATCGTGATTTATTAAGAGTTAAGACTTTAGGTTGCCAAATGTCAAAAAATTAGTGAAATCCGATTTATATTAAATATCGACTATCTGCTCAGAATTTAATGTCATTTTGATATTTGTAAATTGAAGTCTCTCTCTCCCTCCCTCCCTCCATATGTGTGATGGGCCGACTTCCAAATTAAACAAATAATAGCTAGGCCCATCAAGCCCAAGAGGATTGGTTCCAGCAGGCTATGAGTAAATGTTGGATGAAACGGATCAAAATTGATCTCTTCCAAAAAAAATCAATTTTATTTTTGGTAAGTACAAAAATAATTTAAAAAAAAAGTTGGTTGTTTAATTTTTTTGGGTATTGGAATCTAAAAATGAATTCCGATTCAAGAATTGAGTTGTTGCTTTTCTTGTTAGATGCAATGGCAATGCTTTTAGCCCTCTCTCTTGCCACAAAGTTCAATTCTCTTTGTTCTGAAGGTATCTTCGAGATTTTTTAACTACCGCTGATTAAGGTGGTGTTTGCAAAAACTTTTACAAATAAATTATGAGTTTTTTTTTTGTTCATAATCTATTTTTAAAAGTTTGCAAAATGAACTTTTGTTTTTGCTTTTTTTAAAATAAGTAACTTTAAGTTATAATTTATTAAGCACCCATTGTCCTGCTTTTTCCAATAAATTTGCAAGCACTTCCAAATTTTAGAAATAAACACTTGAAACCAACTTTAAATGGTGTTTGTGAAATAGATTATGAACTTTTTTCTCACATAATTTATTTTTAGCTCTTTGCAAAAACAACTTTTGCATTTGCTTCTCTTAAAATAAATAGCTTTAAGCTATAATTTTAAAACATTAATGAACCTGTTTTTTCTATTTAAATTGATTTTCTAGATTTTTTGCAAACACCCCTAACTTTTAGAATTAATCACTTCATGTCAATTGAACTCAGAATTACTAGCCTATGCTTTTAAATAATCTTTTGGAAATACCACCTAACTCACAATCTATAACATCTACTTTTAAATAAGTTCTTAAAAAACAAACACCACCTAAATAAAATTAGCTTTTAAAAGTTAACCTTTTAAAATATTGTTACCAGTTTTTTAATTTAAAATATTTTTACAATTAATTAGTTGAAATCTGTATTATATGATTATGTATTTTATTTTATTTACTAAAATATTTTACAAAAAAAAAATTACATTTTTTATTTTTATTTTCAAACGCTCAAACCGCAGTATAAAATGACAAAATAATAAAAAGAATATTCTTTTATTAACTGGCCTATCTTTTTTCCTCCCAAAATCAAAATTCGTCAACACCACCATTTTTCATTCCCCAACCCACCACCGGCCACCCCCATTTTCACCGGCCACCCACCCACCCACCACCGGCCACACCCATTCTTCTTCAATTACTTCTTATACATACTCAATTCGTTCTTCGGCAATTTTGAATCAAAAAATCGCAGCTCAATTGCTCTCAATTTATCCATTAATGTTTCCCCCGTAATTCCGCTTCTTGTGTGCTGGATTCCCCCCCACCCCACGATTTAATGGTTTTGCAATCCGCGCAATATACTTCAGCCCCTAATCTTGCGAATTCCCACACAGGAAATTACA